AAGGTAAATTTCTTTTCCATACCCTTTTCTTATCGCTTATCTAAACCTAATTTGGTACATGATTACCTTTAGAATTTGTAGATATGTTTTTAATTTATCATGGATTTTAACAATACTAACTTGTTAGTTGTTCATTGATTTATTTTTTGACATGTTTAATGATGAATTATACAAGATATTTTTTTACTCTATTTTCGATATATTCGATGACGATGAATTATAAAATAAAAGATTTGTTGATTTTATTTTCCAATCGATTAATCCATGATATTTTTAGTACACCATTTGATGGAGACTAATTTATTTACAACAAAATGTTCATTTATTTTCTTAGAATTGTTTGATTTTGGCATTTAGATATTTTCCCCTTTTTTTCTTCTGCGTTGCATCGGCCTGATCAAAGACGAGTTTTCTTGCCATCGTGTGATGCTTTTCAAGAAAATTTTTCCAAAAATGTAAAACTAACTAAAAATGTTTGGATGATATAGTTTTAACCTATTTCATTTTAAATTCAAATTTTTGGGTGACACATGATATAAAATAAAATAATTTCTTGTAAATCTTTTACCTAAACAGAATTATTTGCCTTGAATCAGATTAGATTTTATATAAAAATAAATAAATACTTTTGTTGGAGATTTATTCCTTCTAGGAGTATTATTATTTAGGAAAAATGTTTTTGATAATTTCTGATAATTAGATTGTCAAAATTTCATTAATATCAGCTCATTTAATACATGTAGAAAATCATTGAAAGTAAAACTACTTCCGCCTTCCAATGATTTTTCAGAAAATAAATACGGAGTACAAACTTTTTTTTTTTTTTTTTAATGTAGTATACTAGTTGTTTTGTCATTTATGCATTTATTGATAATCCACCCAATTTTTTTTGGCCTTTATTGATAAATCTACCATTAAATTCGCAGCACATTTTAATGATCTTATTTAAGAGTATTAGTGGTAATTAATTTTGTTTCGTTAATTTAGATACGTCTCATCATGGGAGGAGGAGGAAGAAAGAGACCTTTCTCGGAAACGGAAGAACAAATAGACTCAAACCAACCAAATCTCGAATTGAGTCTCTCTCTGTCGCCGCCCGATTCGGGGTCGTCGCACCAAACTGGAGAAGAACCATCGAATATTATTCCGTCGTCTCACTCATGCACCCCGCTGTCGTCTGCGTCTACTCAACGCTCATGCACGTCTGAAACCCTATCCAAGAGTGCACATGAAGAACTGCATGAGAACGGCGGACAGGAAACTCATTCGCTGGTTGTGATGGGGTGTGGCCGGTGTTTGATGTACATCATGGTTTCGGAAGTGGACCCAATGTGCCCCAAATGCAAGACCTCTGCTCTGATTGATATCTTTCGTGGGGCTAAGAGGGTGAGGAAAGAGGAAAATTCTTGCTCTAAGTCAAATTAATTAGAATTTGGCGATTTCAGAATATGATCGTTGATTGCCGGCCCCCCAATATCTAGAGTTTGAAGAAGTCATCATTTTGTTTAGTTTTCTTATGAGTACTTTTTTTTTGTTGGAATGCTTCAATTTCGTTTCAGTGTCATGTTTTTGTTTGATGTAATTTAATCAGTGTAATTTCAATTATATGTGGTGGGGTTTGTTATATATTTGCTTTGTTATTAGTGATGATTTCTCTTTGGTCTTTTGCTTACCTATGTTTGGCTACCAGGGGCAAGGATGCTAATCCTTTCGAGCCTCTTTTTCATTGTCTCAAATTTGAATGTGAGATCTTTGATCATATATAGAAAAATCTAGTACTCAACTTAGATTGTCATAGGTTATATACATCTTAGGTTAGTCCTCTCTTTAGACCCTTTAATGAATGGACGGTTTCTATTTTTTCTTTTGAAAAAAAGAACAACTAATCAATGAACAGAGAAATGATTCAGTAGTCCCAAAGAATGAAATAGCTCCTCACCCCCTTCAACAGAAAAAAATTAAAAAAAAAAAAATCTCAATTGTTGATCATGTGAGGTTACCATGATCTCTAATGGGTAAAATTGAGCCTATTTTAACTTCTACTTTTTTGAATTATTTCTCTTTTATATTAATAAATCCTCAAAAATTACAACAGTTATAAAGTATTATATATGTATTTTTTTATAAATTACTATAAGTTAATGTAAATTAATGTCACTTAAAAGTTGTTAAAAAATATTATCAATGAATCATTTTCATTTACTTCTTACAAAAATAATCCATGCATAATCAAGATTTAGGCCGTAGTAGTGATACAAGGAAAGTTAGATCCACTTGGTACATATATTGAGTTGAAACCACTAACCTCAAATTGAGATTGGAGGGAGCTGGCGATGGATCAATTAATTGGTCCATCCTCCAGTTGGACTGACATATTGTACAAAGTGGTCAGAAAGGGTCGGTCTGGCTGTCATCTACTTTTGCGGTTTTGCCTATGGCCCGGCTGTTGAATGGGGCCTTAAAATGGCTTTCAAGGCCTCATATCATCATATTACATATTAAAGAGTTAGCTAGAAACATTCATTAATAAAAGAATTCCTTGATTAACCTTGATATGAACAATCTTTCTTTGTTCATAATCAATAAGCTTGCAAGATGAACGGATTGCTCTGGTCAGTGGTATTGGACCTTAAATTAGAGCTTTTCACTTCCTATTGGTTTGTATTTGAACTCTACGAAATCCCTTTCCTTTTTTCCCTAATTAATATGTAAATAATTGTAATCAGTTAAAAAAAATAAATAAATAAACTTGCAAGAGGGTTCCTCACCTTTGGGTCTAGTGGCTTGTCACGAGATTTTGTGGGAA